ATCTGTCTGTGGCATGGATGGGTAACCTGGGGTGGGTCAGAAAGACCCACTGGGCACAATCCACAAACCACCAACTTTGCTCTGTAGTATTATCCTCAAGCACTGACCCAAGCCACAAGCATCAGAGAGTGCAAGCCAAGACCTGCAGGCAGAGGGATGCTCATGAGGAGCCTCTGGGACACACGGACACAGCCCAGTTGTGCTGCAGCTTCTGTGCTCCCCAGGGTTTCCTATGACGTTTCTGCAGCATTGTAGGCCAGGTGGGATGGGACTGGGTGAGAGCTGGGGTTGCTGCCCAGTGGAGGAGAGAAGCTGGCAGGGTGGGCAGTGCATCTGGCAGCTGCTGCTGCCTGAGAGCTGAGCACCAGCCTGAACTCCAGGAGCACAGGCTGGTGGAAGGGTTTGGAGCTCAGTCGCCCTGGGAAAGAGGAGGCAGAGGTTTCTCACACTGTTTGCCAGGTGCATGTTTGTTCTGGGGTGCATGGGCTGGCCCCCAGTTACCTCTCATTAAAATACAGCGGGCTCAGATGGTGAGCAGAGCTGCACAAGGCAGAGTGAATGGAGGGTGCAGTGGGACACCCTGTTGGAAGGAGATCATCCATCCGTGCCAGCTGGGTGGTTTGAGGTCTGTCCTGGCTCTGTACCACACGGGACATAGAACCACAACATCAGCCTGATGAGCCTGGGGTTGTGTCAGCCCAAGTGCTCCAGGGCAGGAGGCTGGGCCCCGAGGAAGGGTCCAATATGAGAGCAGGCTGTCTGCTCACATCTCCTCGGCCATCTGCCAGAGGAGGTGTGGATCCGGCTTGTCTGGCTGGTGTTGAGATGCCTGAATATGCATCTGCCAGAGAGGCTTCCAGAGGATCCCACTCGCCCAGGTTTCCATGGAGAGCGTCTCTTTGTTGAGGAGGAAGCCGTCTGGCAGACAGTGTGGCCGTGGAAATACCTATGGAGCATTTGTTTTCCGAAGCACATGAATAACATCCCTAACAGCCAGCAGCCTCACTTCCTCCGCTCACCCACCAGCGGCCTGGCAGAGCGACCTGGGATGCCTGTGGTGTCTTTATCCTTCCAGCTTCTCACTGTGTGCCTGTCTGAGCACTCCCAGTTTGGCTGTATCTGCCCAGCCTAGCCCGGTAGCCCGGTTTCACTTCTAGTTGGCAGGCACAGCTCCTGGCTGCCTCCCTGCAGCCCATCTTCGCTGGGGGACACGTTTGGCTTCACTGCTGGAGGGAAGAACGAGAGTGCTGTAGGCGGGAAACTGGGAAAGTTTTGCTCCCACCTCCCATGGGATGCGAGGGGAATTGCTTCCCTGGATGAAATGTCCTTTCTCCGGTCTCCCAGTTATTTTGCATGCTTTGAAAGACCAAAGGGGAAGCTTAAGAGCTTTTGAGGCAGCAGGCAGCAATGCAAGGCACATGCAACAGCCCACAGTGAAGGGGGCTAAGCTTGGGTTCTCATGGCAGTCTGTCAGTATTAAATTAAGGCTAAATTCCCATCCTAAATGTTATGTTAACATGAAGTTACATCAGAAAGCGCAGAGCACAGAACAGCAATGTGAGGGTATCAGATGTGTTGCAGGGGTATTGTAATCATCCCAAATCAGGCATTTGAAACCCAGGGAATTCTAGATATAGGGTTTGCATCATTTTTTGGGGTTGTAATTGAAAAACAATCCAAACATAGGAAGGCTTTAGAAACATGTCACTGAGATTGTTTGGGTGCCTTTTATTCTGTGCTGCGGGGACATGGAGGGAAAGAGTCTTTAAAAAATGATGGAACCAAATGCGGAATTACAAATGTTAAAATACCATGATCTGGATTTGAGTGTTAAGATATTGTGGCTCTCCAGGGTAACATTAGGGCTGCTGGGCCTTGACTGTGCATCTCCATATCTGAACATATTTGGCTGTAGCTAATGTAACTCACCTCTGTGCCTCATGCTTTGTAAAACTCATAATTGGAGGTGGTTTTAAGTCCTGTAGCATCATTTTGCTAAAGTTAAGGATGTGTACTTGGAACTTGGAACTTTAATTCTATCTTAGCTTGTGTTTTTTATCTTCAGATTTCCATGTTTTTTAAAAGCTATTAAAAGAACGATGGAAGAGGATTAAACAAAAGCCCAGAGGAATATCATCATAATGTATTTCTGAGGAGCTGTAGAAGAAGCCTTTTTTTGCTGTGATTTGTAGAAAAGAGATTCTTCATTGTGTCAGGAGAGGGTGGTTATGCTGGGTGTGCAGCCACTCCATGGATGCAAAGTGGGTTGTGAATCCAGCCCTGTGACTGGTGTGCACAGCCCAGCTGGGCAGCTGTGTAGTGGCACTGCCTGGTGCCACGAAATTGCTTGGCTGGAGGAGTTGGTGGAGCAGCAGTGCCCATGGCAGCGTGTGGCTGAAGCCCTGAGGAAGCTCTGGAGTTGGGAAATCAGCTGATAAGCCACTGCTGGCAGGGCTGTGGTGTTCCTGCAGACAGAAAATGATGACGGATCGGTTGAAATGGCTCTGCGGGGAGCACTGTATGCACTAACATAAAGACTGGAAGCTGCCTGTAGCTTCCAGTCATACAAATTAGATATGACAGTCATTAATAATTGGCTTTATCCTGACCTGCGGTACCTGAAGGAACCTGAGCAGAAGATTTGCACTGGGCAGTTTGCCTTCCAGCTATGTCAGGCAGAGCAGTGGGTGTGAAGCATCTTTGAGTTCCCGCTTGGGGATAAAGCTTTGGGGGTCCTGAGCCAGCATTGCACTCCTGGGATGTCACTGTTAGGCAAAGGCCAGTTCTCTGCTGAAGGAGGAGCATTGCAGAAAGGAATATTGGATGAATGATGGTTTTCTTCCAGAGCTGCAGGCAGGGCAGAGCAGCCAAGGCATTGTGCTGCAGAGGTAGCTCCAGCAGTGGTGGGCAGAGCTGAGCTTGGGGTCTCTGGGTGCCTCAGCTGTATTTCTGTCCCTCGATACAGCTTTTATTTCTTAGACTTTGGCATCTTTTTTGGGGGATAATGCAGCAGTGCCATGCTCCTGCTGGGTGTGTTTCTGTCACTGCCCGGTGGGGCAGGAAGAGGTGGAGGGGAATAATGTGCAGAGATGATGGGGGTCAGAAAGAGAGCAGTATCAGCCCCAGTCATGATAGCTCAGCCCTCAGGTCATCCCTGTGCCATGGATGGGGGAGTGTTGTGACTGTTTCTCTTCATCAGCTGTACTGCTCTCCTTGTCTGGAATTCCCTGCCGTCCCTTTGCAGGCTCTGGAAAGGTGCCTGCATGCCCAGCCCTGTGAGGCCTTGCTACTCAGGTGGGCTGAATGCAGTAACATGATTTTCTGGGCTGAGTGTTTCTTTTTACTGTCGTACCCTGATTTCTGAGCCTGCTGAGTTCTCTGGGCATATCAGGAGGGCAGGCACAGCATGGGCCCATCTCCTTAATCACCAGCAGTGAATTGCCTGCACATGTACAGTACAGATTTCAGACACCTTCTGTGGGGTTTCTTGGTTGTGCTGTGTTTTGGTGGGGTTTTCTTGTGTTTGTTTGTTTGTTTGGAGGGTTTGGGGTGGTTTTTTTGGTGGTGATTTTGGTTTTTTTTCCTGCGGATTTTCCTCACTGGATGAGGTGTTCTCCATTTGTGGAATCCCTGCCCAACTGAACCTCCACCAGAGCTGCGTCCTCCCATCTGCATATAGCCCTTATTTTGTGCTCCAATAATTTCAAGGCAACTCTGCTCCCCTCTGAGCTTGGGAGGGATATACCGGGTGGGCATGTAAGGATGCCCTGGGGCAAAACGGAGGTGCCTCACCAACGCTGCCATCTCTCCCAGGGTGAGGACATGTGGCTGAGAGAGGACGAGCGAGCATCCTCTGAGCCGCCACCAAGCCGTGCCTTTTAGCAGGGACCCGGCTGCAGATCCGCCCACCGAGGAGCGGAGCCGGCCGCCCGCTGATGCCGTGCCCGCCCCGCCGGGGTGAGGGGAGCACCGGGAGGGTGCAGCCCCGGCGGCTTCCCTTGCCCGGGTCCCCCGGGAGCGACGGTGCTGGCGGGGGGAGCCGGGGGGGCACTTACATAAGCCCTGAATGCGACAGGCGGTGCGGGAGGTGAAGGGCAGAGCGCTGAGAATCCACACAGCCTCCGGCGAGGGCTCCCTGGCACAGGAGCGCCTGCCTCGCTGACACACATCCCGCGGGTCCCCATCTGCAAGTGCCTCCCCCTTCCCCGCGGGCCCCCACGGGGGCTGCCACAGCTGCTCCCCCCGATGCTGCCAGCCCGGCTGGGGGGGATGTGGGAGCAGAGTTCTGCCTCCCCAGGGTTGCCCCGGAGGCAGCCGGGGCGGGGAGCGGGTGGGAGGGAGGGCAGATGCCCAGGAGCACTGTGACTGTTCCCATCCTGGGGTCTTGCCGCTTCGGCCCGTGGCACGTGGAGGGGGAAAGCTGGTGGAGAGCGTGTGTGTGGGTGAGATGGGTGCCTGGTAGGACACGTGGGTCTGGTTTGCGGGTGTGTGAGGTGGGGTGGTGGCACCCAAACCGGAGGCAAGCAGCCCAGGCAAGGAGCACAGGCTGCAGGGTCTGTGAGTGCAGGCTGCTCCACCTCAGCCAGGAGAGGAGAGATGCCAGTGGGCTCTTGTGCCGGGGCCGTGCTTGGCACCAGCGATGTCCAACAGGCTCCTTGTGGGGAGGGATGTGGCACTGCCCTGCTTATCTTGTCACCCATAATCTGCTGCTGATACCCTCCTGCAGCATGGGACGGGGACATAGCCCAGGACGGCTGTGGGGATCACCTGGGCAGGGCAGGGACAGGGCTGGCCCCTGAGTGCTGGGACAGGCTCTGCAGGCACAGGCAGACACAGTCCGTGTGTCTGCAGATGCTCCACTTGTGCTGCCCACGTTTGCAAGCTCCCAGAGCCACCTGCTTGGGTAGTGGTAGAGCCAATGAGCACCCATGGGTGGGAGGGTCAGCCAGGGATCCTGGCTCCTTCTGCTCTGCAGCTCTTCGACTCTTCCCAGAGCAAGTCTGCTGTTAATTCCCTCCATCTCTCCACAGTATCAGCAGTCACCTCCAGGCTGGGCCGCTGGCAGGCAGGCAGCAGTGGGCAGCTGGGAGACTGTGAGGAGCCAGTGGCACATCTCCCTGCATCCGACTCACCCAGCAGAAGGTGTGGCTGGGCTGCACGCTCCTGACTCCCGGCTCTCCTGCTCCGTGTGTTCCCGGCGGGCAAATCGGAGGCTTGATGTGATGGGGATGCCCTGAGCCCTCGCCCCAGGAGCTTCAGGCCTGGATGTTGGTGCTGTTTCTCCCGGACAATGTGGCTGATACTCTGGAGAAGCCCTCTCTTCCCCCCTGTTCTCCAAGTGCCTGAGCTGGTGGCCAGCTGGGACCTGCGTCTCACCCTCTGGGTCCTGAGCTTTGCCTCGATGGTTGTGCAGATGGAGGGCCAGGTCTACTCACCAACTGTCAACACACACTATGGGAAGTTACGAGGGGTGCGTGTGCCATTGCCCAGTGAGATTCTGGGGCCTGTGGACCAGTACCTGGGGGTTCCTTATGCTGCCCCCCCAGTCGGGGAGAAGAGATTCATGCCCCCTGAGCCACCACCATCCTGGTCAGGCATCAGGAACGCTACCCACTTCTCACCAGTCTGCCCCCAGAACATCCACAATGCCGTTCCTGAGATCATGCTGCCCATCTGGTTTACCTCCAATTTGGATATCGTGGCCACATACATCCAGGACCCCAACGAGGACTGTCTGTACCTCAACATCTACATCCCCACGGAGGATGGTGAGTCCCCACTGGGGTGACTGCAGGAGGGCGAGGGGGGGGTCACTCCACCCCTCCCCAGCAGTGGTTGGTCTCACCTGGGTGTTGTGTTTGAAGCATGTGGTTGTGGACCCTGCAGCATGCTGTCTGTTTGTGGAAAGCTTTCTCTGGCCACGCAGCTTGCCCTCTTGCCCTCAGCTGCCATCTCTGTCTCGCGTGCTCCTGCTCCTCCACGCCTCCCGGTCCCACCCCTCCACCTCCATGGCATCGTCACGGGTTCCTCTCTTGTATTGCTAAATCTGAATCCGACTCTCTGACCGCAGATCCACAGAGTGACAAGCTGATTTGTGCTCCCCAGGCGCCGAGTGCCAGGTTCTGTCTTGAGTTGGTTCGAGTTCGTCCTTCCTCCCTGCTTCCCACCCTCCCCAGGTCCATGCGCTAGTTGTGGGCGTGGGCTGCGGCTGGGAGGAACACTCTCTGCCTCTCCCTGGGAAGATACCTCAGCAAGAAAGGGACCACAGAGCCCTTTTCTGGGCCCTGGTATGGATGGGAGGTTGGGGGGCACCGGCAGACACGTTGCTTGGCTGCTCCTTCGTCCGCCGGTGGGGCAGCGGCAGAGTTCTGGGCCCTGGTATGGATGGGAGGTTGGGGGGCACCGGCAGACACGTCGCTTGGCTGCTCCTCCGTCCGCCGGTGGGACAGCGGCAGAGCGATGAGCCTGGGGTGCCGGGGACCCGTGGGGCACGGTCCTGTTGGGGTGAGGCTGAGCGGTGCTGGGTGCCTCCTTGTCTAACCTTTTCCTTTGTAGGGGATCCCACCTGAACTGTAAGTAGAGGGCAGAGGAGGCAGCGCCTGCCCGTGTGTCCGCCCCAGCCTCACCGCAATGGGAAGCCCCCAGGGATTTGCAGCGGGCTGGAAGGGACCCGCAGTGGGTCTGCTGTGCACAACAGAGCAGCCTGGCAGGCCAGTGGCTTCTCCCAGGCTGGCTGGCTCCACTCCTGTGTCTCTGGGGCCCTTGGCCACGGAATGCATCATGCCTTCCTTCCCGCCCAGCACGGCTGGCCCAGAGTTTTCCTCCCATGGCGACACTCCCTCCCCACCTCCCGCCTCCTGTTATTTTGTAGTCTTTTATTCATTTTACAGTAAAACGGATTTCCAAGGAATGCACCCGAAAGCCCAACAAGAAAATATGTAGGAAAGGAGGTATGTAGCAAGCCGACCGGCAGAGAGGCACAGAGAGGAAAGAGAGAGAGAGTGAGAGTGAGGGGGTGCCTGTCTGGCCCCCGGCCTGCAGCACACTCCTCCGGCACCTCTCTGTGCCGCCACCCAGGCTGTGGGCCCTCCGAGCAGCCCACCCTGCCACCCCCCACTTCCCACTGGGAGGAGTCCCATGGATGCTCCGGCCAGCTGGGAGTACAGGTCTGGGGTCAGGTCATGACGATGCTCATGTTGCTCCAGGCCTTTCAGAACAGCTTCTCCTCCTGGGCTGAACCTGCCTTCCCATCTTCATCCCACTGGCATCAACAGCCTCCCAGACTTTGGGTATGAGGGGTAGCCTCTGATGGCAGGAAGCACTTAAATGCACCCATCCCTTAGGGTGCCTCCCCCATTGGGGGTGTACAGACCTGCTCAGGGAAGGGCCTGTGTGATGGGGGACTGCAGCCTGTCCTGAGCTGAGCTTTTCCCCAGTTCCATCCCTGGTCATTTTGCATCCAGAGTTTCTTGGTTAAAAACATAAAGCCTCTCCTGGCTGTGTAAATCATGCCATGTTGTGCCCCAACCCTTGTTCCTGCCAAGGCTGCTCCCCACTGCTCACACCCCCATGCCTGTGCCAACCCTGCCAGTGAGGATTTGGTCTCCAGCCCATGGCACAGCATTCTCCCTGAGCCCTGGTTGTCCTGTGGTAAGCTGAGCTCCTCCAGTTCAGACACATCTCTGCTTTGTCTTGCCTCAGCTGAGCTTCCCCCATTGCCCCTTAGTGATCCTGTATTCCCAACCAGTGGCATGGACCAGAGAGTAGAGATGTGCAAATGGGAACTGGCTCAGCCCCATGTCGGACGTGGTGCTTCACCCATCCCACCACACAGCCCCCTTGCAGACAGGGAGAGCTGGCTGCTCTGTGCATCCCCAAGATGAACGTGGGGACAGTCAGGCAGCCAAGCTCTTCTGAAAGGCTCAGTACAGGGTGTCTGGCCGGCACAGGCTGCTGTCCTGGGTATCCTGTGGCAGCAGGGTCCCTGCATCCCGACCTCTGCCTCCCTGCACCCCTGGGTTTGTCGGGGCCAGTGCAGCTGGGCTTGGAGGTTTGGGGAGCGCTTTCCTTCCAGCCGTTTCCCCCAGTTCTGTTGTTTGGTTTCTTTGCTTTGCTTTTCCTGTTGCTGTCCTGGCTATTCACACGCCATCTCTCTGAGTGCCAAGGCTGCCCCTGAAAGGGCTGGCGCATTAGGGAGTCTCTGCACGCTGCCTCCGGAGCCGGCTGTGCCAGTGATCACCAGCCACTTCAAAGCGCTTCCTCTCCCGGCCCTCCCACCGGCTGCCAGGGCTGGCAGACCCCTGCCACCCCCAGCCCGAGAGACAGGGCCAGGGAAGCGGGGTCCAGGTTATGGCTGGAGAAGGGGACAATGTAAGGCATGGCCAAACACCTTGGATGTGCTTGTCTGGTTTTCCCTTCCCGCTGGCACTGCTCATGGGCAGGGTTTCTCTGCAGCCCATCTGCAGCTGCCTCTGGCCACATCCTGCAGAGTTGTTGGGGGACATTCCCACTGCCCCCACTGGGCTCTGTTGGATGGACCAGCGGATCCCCCGTGCCGGCCATTTGGGCATCCAGGTGTGATGTGCCAGGAATTAAAGCACCCAGACACTGGCAGTGCTCTTCAGCTCCAGCCAGGCTCTGGTGGCCATTGGCTTGAATTAATTGAGTCACTTGTGATGAGACACAGAGGCTCCTCCGCCTCTTATCGTATGTCTTGAGTTAGTAATGTTTGGGGTGAGGATAATGTACCTGCAGTGCTGATTTCCTTGGGCTGAAATTTTGAAGATTGGCTCATTCTGGAATATTCATGATTATAATTTCTAAGGCAACATATGAACAGTGATGAGCTCTCCTCTTGCAGAACAGTATTTTGGTGGTTGAAAATGCTCCCACCTTACTGGAGTTTTCATGATTTCTGCCACCCCTAAACTCAGTGTATTTCATAGCAGATGGAGGTCTGAGAATTTATCATAGTTTATCTCTGGGACAGAAAACCACCCCTGTTTCCCCGCCCAGTTGCCCACAGTAATTTCCTGCATGGAAATTTCCTAAATGCCAGTGTCCTCCACACACGTTGGTCCTTTCTCTGGGAGCAAGACAGGCCAGTGGTGCTTTGAGAAACAGTGCCAGGGGAGCTGACAGCACTGAGGCTCAGCTGAGGCTCAGGTTTTGCTGTGAAAATAACCCTGCCCACCCAAAGACCATGTACACACACACACACACACACACTATACAGAACTTATGTGCAAAACGCAGCTCTGCCCTTTGCTTTGTTCTGCCAACACTTCCAGCCTGTGCTTGGCTGTGGCAGGTGCCAGGATGATTTTCCCTTCCCTTCACCAGCAGCCTGGGCAAGCCTTGCTGCAGGGCATGAGGAGGTGGATGTCATTTTTGGAGGGGAAAAAACTGTGGCTGCCCTGCACTCAGCAACCCTCCCTGGTTTTCATTAGCGACTGTCCAAATCTCTCTGGCTGGGGCTGTGCAGAGCCTGTGATGCTGCAGAGACCAATGTGCAGGTCCAGCATCTTCCTCTGCTGTGCGAGGGTGGCTGGAGCTCCCAGCAGCTCCTGGGCTCAGGATGTGCTTCGGCTGCTCTGCAGGAAAAGCGTCGTGGCTTCTCCACTGCTCTCCAAGAAGGGGATTTGTCCGAGTACTGGCTGAGGCTTCCCTGCCGTGCTCCCTTGCTGGAAGCTTCTCCCCAGCCCCCTCAAAGCCTGCTGCTCTGCAGAGCTGGCTGAGCAGACCACCGCCCTGGTGCTCTGCTTCCACTCCGGGGAATGATTTGCAAAGGTGAGGGTAGGTGTTTGTGCTGGTGGAGGCAGCAGAGCGTGAGAAGATGCAGTGCTTTTACCGAGTCCGCTCAAGGATGGAAATAACTCCTCTGCATCATTCCGGGACAGGGAGGGGCTGGGCAGCACCAAGGTATGCTGCAGTCCTGGAGCAAGGGCTGGTGGCTGGAAGGTCCCAGCAGAGTTGCACCTTCCCATGGGGTTGTGCAGCAGCAAGTTCAACAGCTGCATCAGTCTTGGTCCAGTTCCTTGTCACTCCTGGAGGAGCAGCTGAGGTGGTGTGGCCAGTGGCAGGTGTACCTTTGGGTGCACGTAGCCATCAGACAGCTCCTGCTCCCTGAGGCATCGTGGCTGTTTTGTGGGAGTGGGTGCCCCACTTGCACGGAGGAGAGGATGCTGGAGCTGCCTACAGACACCCTGAACAGACTTTTGGATCTGGAAAGATGACAGCTCAGGCTCCTGCTCTTGTGTTATCCACACCATGGTGAGAATGAAGCCTCCAAGGACTTAGGCTCCTCACCCTCCTTTATCCCTGTTTGCACTGGTGTCAGTGCTGTTGGTATGATTTACTTAAGATAGCATAAATCCAGTGTGGATGGCCCTGTTTTGGGGGAAGTGATTTTATTTTTTACTGAACTTGAACTTAAATCTTTCCAGAACCTTTAGATAAGAGCATATGCATCCTTCCTATCGGCCTGAACAATGTCACTTTGCAGTCAGCTTAAAGTGAAGTGGCACAACAGACATTTACACTGGGTTAGTGGAGGGTGTTTTTGATGGGTAAGGAGAATGAGCCACGAGCCTTTTTGGTTTTTCCAGCTGTGAATCCACAGGCTTTAGCCCATCCCCATGAGAGTAGGTGCTGCAGGGCTCTGCATGGTGGCTTTTGTTAGTGCAGAGGAAGATCTGGGATGGGTATCCCTGAACATGTCAATAGACAGTGGAAGGAGATATTGGAGCAAAGTGCAAGGAGTGGGTGAGGGAAGTGAAGCTGTGATTGCTCTCAAGAGCTGTGGGACATCGGTGGGTTGTGCTGAAGGTAAACATTGCAGCAAGAGGTAAAAAGCCCACTTGGTCACAACAGTCTGTGTTGGCCATAACCCCAGCCAGCCTGGAACCTTCCTGCTGATGGGTAAGGCTCGTGCTTTGCTTCTGCCACATACATGCCCCTGCTGTTCCCCTCTGCCCTAGCCTGCATCACTGTGCTCCTGCTTTGCTCAGCTCCCCAAGTGCTGCTTTCTGCCATCTCTTCTGTGGCGCCTGAAGCTCAGGGTGCTTTAGGCTTGTCCCAGCCATCCCTAAGCTCTGCAGCAGCAGTCTCCAGCTGGATCCCTCCCTGATCAGCCAGAACAGTTGCTCAGGTCATAGAGATGTTATCCACTGCCCTCTCTTACAGCCTGACAGGTCCTCATAGCTGATTCCTCCACCCTCATCTTCATGGAGACCTTTGCCCCCTAAAGGAGACCAGGCTGGAGGGCTGCAGCCTGGCTGTTCTCAGGGGTTTAAAAGCACCAGGGCCTTTGGCAGTGGAAAATGATCTCCAGCTGCCTGTGATCAGCTTCCCAGCTCTGCAGCACGGTGTGATGAAGGCTCACTGCCTGTGGTCATCATTAGAGAAAAATCCCCATCCCTTAGCGGTAGCAAGAGGTTGGCACGTAGCACCGGTTAGCAAATATTGCATGAGTACTTCGTCATTTAAGTGCTTTCTGGGCTTGCAGCTCTTCCTAATGAASACGCAGCAGGTCAAGCCTGCAGCCTCCT